GTTACAACTAGTAATAATACAACCAATAATAACACGACACTGTTTAACTACAAACAGTACAACCAATAATAACACCACACTGTTTAACTACAAACAGCACAACCAATAATAACATCACACTGTTCAACTAGTAATAATACAACCAATAATAACACCACACTGTTTAATTACAAACAGTACAACCAATAATAACTTCGCATTGTTTAACTACAAACAGTACAACCAATAATAACACCACACTGTTCAACTAGTAACAATACAACCAATAATAACACCACACTGTTTAATTACAAACAGTACAACCAATAATAACACGACACTGTTTAACTACAAACAGCACAACCAATAATAACACGACACTGTTTAACTACAAACAGCACAACCAATAATAACATCACATTGTTCAACTAGTAATAATACAACCAATAATAACACCACACTGTTCAACTACAAACAGTACAACCAATAATAACACCACACTGTTCAACTACAAACAGTACAACCAATAATAACACCACACTGTTTAACTACAAACAGTACAACCAATAATAACACCACACTGTTTAACTACAAACAGTACAACCAATAATAACACCACACTGTTCAACTACAAACAGTACAACCAATAATAACATCACACTGTTCAACTAGTAACAATACAACCAATAAAAAACACCACACTGTTTAACTACAAACAGTACAACCAATAATAACACCACACTGTTTAACTACAAACAGTACAACCAATAATAACACCACACTGTTTAACTACAAACAGCACAAGCAAAAATAACACCACACTGTTCAACTAGTAATAATACAACCAATAATAACACCACACTGTTCAACTACAAACAGTACAACCAATAATAACATCACACTGTTCAACTAGTAACAATACAACCAATAAAAACACCACACTGTTTAATTACAAACAGTACAACCAATAATAACTTCGCATTGTTCAACTAGTAATAATACAACCAATAAAAACACCACACTGTTTAATTACAAACAGTACAACCAATAATAACACCACACTGTTTAACTACAAACAGTACAACCAATAATAACACCGCACTGTTTAACTACAAACAGTACAACCAATAATAACATCGCATTGTTTAACTACAAACAGTACAACCAATAAAAACACCACACTGTTCAACTACAAACAGTACAACCAATAATAACACCACACTGTTTAACTACAAACAGCACAAGCAAAAATAACACCACACTGTTTAACTACAAACAGCACAACCAATAATAACATCACACTGTTTAATTACAAACAGTACAACCAATAATAACACGACACTGTTTAACTACAAACAGTACAACCAATAATAACACCACACTGTTTAATTACAAACAGTACAACCAATAATAACACG